TTTTGGTTTTTTACCTTTCTATGAATGAATAGTATCAGATTGGTGCTGTTCAATTGTAGGGTGGCAGACAGATGAGCTTGATCTAGACTTTAGTAGGTTTGATGCAGCAGGTTGCTTGTAGATACTAATTGAGATAACTACATGATAATGCCATATGGAGTTAGATATAGTTTTATTTGTATATTGTCTGTACTAAACATTTATAAATAAACTTCTGACTGGTTGACCATCGTGGCTGCCAAAGGTTAAAAAAAAAAAAAAAAAAAAAACTGAAAAAAATATACTCAATCAGTTAACCAAACTGAATTATTTTATGTTAACCAATTACAACCAGTTAAAATTAATAATCTCTACTTCTCTCTACTTTTTATTTTTATCTTAGAAATTTTCAGAGTTTCACTCAAATTTTTGGTTTAACCTTGCTCATTTCTTATGTTAATTCAGTTTCTTTCTGGAATCTTCACTCTTTCTTGGTCATTTACATACTTTATTAATCTTATCAACTGGTTATCTAATTCTCAACCACTTGTACTGGATTAACCAATTAAGAATTTGTTTAACCAGTTATTTAAAATTTATTCAGGTCAGGTTAGTTAACCAATTATAGCCCAACTGGTTCAAATCACTATATTTGTTTGTTGTTATTATTCATCATATTTATACTTATATTGTTTAAACTTTTTAAAACAGATTTTTATTATTATCATTTGTATAAAATAATGATATTGTGTTTTCTAGCAGAGATGAATAAAATTGCTTATTTTTTATATTATTTTTTGTTCTTAAAAGAAGTAAATATCTTATTTTAATATCTGATCAATATAGATCTTGTTAATTTACTGTTAATTTGATTTGTTATATTTTAGTTATTATTTTGTTGTTTATTAATAGCTGTAATTGTATTTAAAAGAAAAATTTAAATATTAAATTTTAACTATTATATGTTTTTTTTAATTATGATAGTAACTTTTTATCTTTTTTTTTTTTAATATTTGCTTTGTTATCATTAACATGTTTATATTAAGTTGCTAGTTGTAATTTATTAAGTTCAGACTGAACCTCTTATTGTATATTTATTTAATATTTTCTACTTGTTTGTATGTTTTGTATATTAGATTTTTATTTTCTTAATAAATTAGAATCTATAGAAAAAAATTCAGAAATAATATAATATTATCTAAATCTTTATTTTTATATATAATTTGTAATTTATTTATATAATACAAATAATAGTAACTGTATATTTATTAATTTAATTAATTCTAACTACAAGTATTAATATAAAATATAATATATATACAAAATTATTTTTTTAAATTACTAATAAAAATGGACACCAATCATCTAACTCTTTCTATAGATCACTAAAACTAACTTTTCTCTAACAAACAATTTAAATTTTCTCAATATTTTACTAAACTAATAGCTTTTAAACTTTTAATTAAATTTTTTTTTACAACTTTCTGTTCTAAAAACAATACAAATTTATTTATATTTAATCTTTTAATACAACAAACTCTTACAATTTAATAAAATTATTTTTATTTATACTCTTTTTAACTTTTCTTAATTTATACTTAATTAAACTTTTTAGTTCTAAATAAACTAAGTATACTAAACTTTTTGCTTCTAACTATACTAATTTTATCAAATTTTAATTATTATATTATGCACAAAATAATATTTTTTAAAAAACACACTTTTTTAATTTCCATTAAATTTTACTAAGTAAACTTATGTTTTCTTATTAAACAAAATATTCAGCTTACTAAGACAATTATTTTAATATAAATTTTAACTTTAACAGACAAAATTTATTAAATTATCAATATTTCTCTTCAAACTTCCATTCAAACTCTCTTCTGAAATTCTATTGGTTAATTTCAGAAAATTTACAATATTGTCTTAGAAATTTCACTTTTTAGTAACTTTGAAAATATTCAAATACCAATATTTTTTCAAATTTTCTCAAAAGAATCTAAAAAATTCATTAGGTCTATAGAAATTTTATTGTCAATTTTGAAAAACTCAATTTTTTGTTTAATTCTTATCTTTTTTACCTGCTTTTTTTTTGTTATTTATATTATAAAACACTTTACTTATATTATAAACTACTTAAAAAATTCTTTTTATATCTTTGTTCTAAACTATTTACAACTTTAAACACTTTTCTATTATTATTATCATTTATAATTCTAAAATAAATCTATAAATTATAACCTAACATGATCACTTTTTAGACTGGTTTAAAAGCTATTCATTTTAAAAAACTCTTTTTTATCTATATTTATAATATTTGAAATTCAAATATTAGATTTCTTAAAACTAATTCTCAAAGATTTCTATTTTAGTTCAATTATTAATTTTATAACAATTGACAAACCAGATGTAAAAAACAATTTTAGCTTATTAATTTAAACTATAGCAATCAAAAAACTTAAATTTATTATTAGACCTAATTCTTAACAAAAACCTATATATCATTGAAACAACTAAAATACTTTTCAAAATTCTTCTTAGTATAACAAAAAATTGACTTATCAAATTTATTTATACTTTTTTTTATAAAACAAACTATAAATAACTCTTTAATTTATACTATTTTATTCTTTCTTATTTAATTAAAAAATAATTTCAAATTATTATAAACCTTATCAGATTTTATCTATTTCTATATAACAAATACTAAACTATTAATTATTAAAAATTCTTTTATAAGTTATAACTTACTTAAAAACCTTTATATATATAAATTATATTTTAAACATTCTAAAAAGCAATATTTTTATTTTACAAATCCATAATATCTTTAAATATTATATTAATATTATTATAAATATTATCTTTTAAGAATTTACTACAAACTATCCTATTTCATTTTTTACTTAATTAAATTACAATTTGGTATTTGGTTTCAAAAATTTTTTATATATTACAAAAAATAATTTAGTAACATCAATGAACAAAAAGTTTATAATCATATCAAATATCAAATAAAAATAGCAACTAATAATATATACAAGAAACTAATTCTTCAAAATTCTGAACTACTAATTATTTAATTCATTTAAGACTAAACAAACTATACTACTAAAACAATAATATACTACATATACTCTTGTACCAATTTGAAAAAATATAAAATTCTTAATTCAAAAATAACTCATAATATCTACAATCTAACTTTTTATTATTTTAAACAATTCTTTAATACTATATCTATTTAATAATATATATATTCATCTTTAAATCTTTTTACATTTATTTCAGCAATATTTTATATACTCTTATTTTTTAAAGATCTTTATAAACTAGCTAACCAATTTGAACAAAACTTTATTCAACTAAATAACACATCTACTAATCTTAAATGTATATCTTATTTCTTTTATTGCTATCTTAAAACTTACTTTAAATCTGTAACAACAAATAATGAAATTGTTAATCTCAATTTCAAAAAAGCATTAAACAAAATCTTCTTTCAAACAAGTAATTTACAAATTCTAGCTAGAATCATTACCTACTATAATATTACTCAAATTTCTAAACCAACTATTAATCAACTTAAAAAAAATCTTAACAAGTCATATTTCAATTAAGCAAACTAATATATTATCAATAAATTTAATATTGTTATATTTAAAATATTAGAAACTGACTTTATTTACCTTTTAATGTATCTAAAATCATTAATAAACTTGATAATAATCTTTTTTTTTTAGCTATATTTATACATTTCTGTTAATTTTTTTTTATCTATTCATCTATTCAATCCATACTATTTGCTTTAGTTATACTCTTATAATTTTGTTAACTTTCTTTATCTATTTGTTTATCTAATTGACACTATTTTTTACTTTTTTAATTATACTTTATTTCTTATTTAATTTATCTTACCTTTGGTTTCTTTTCTTCATAATAATATAATTAATTTTCAATAATATAAATAATTAATAAAATCTAGAAATAATTTACTAGTATATACTAGATTAATAAATATTAATTAGAAAATTTCAACTAATTTAGTAAGTCTTAACCACTTTAGTAAGTTTAAACTACAAATAAATATGTCTGAGCTCTTATTTTTACATATAGTATTTATATTACTTAAAGTTATAGTTTTATAGTTAGCAATTTAACAATTAACCCTGACTGCAAGTGTTGGTCTTAGCCATAGTATATATAGAACTTTTTTTTGTATCTGATAACTTCATGTAGTTACTACTTAATGATTACGAATAAAGATAGAAACAAGGCTTCACCTTAAGATTATATAATACTATATCTTTTATATATATAAATGTATATTATTTGATTAATAAAGCTTATCTAAACTGATTAAAACATTACATTTTAAAAAACACTTGCCACCTCTAATTGGAAATGTTAACCCAACAAGCTTGCTTGTCTTTAAGCTTTACTCAATTTCTAATTGTTAAATTCATCCAGCATCATACATTTATATTCATATAAAGAACATATTTATCAAGCAATATGGTTCGAAATTTTTTTTATAAAGAACATATTGAAGTAACAGATGTTCTCAAACCTAAAGGTATGTTCTCATGTAATCATGAGAACATCAGATTTCCAACACTGGCTGTTTCACCAATTTAAAAAAATGAAGTGCCACTCGAAATAGTTAAAAATAGTATTTGCTAAAACGGCTCATAAAATCGACATTTAATATTCTAACAAACTAAAATTTACAATTACAAATGTTTATTTGTGTATATACTGTACGCATGCTCGTACGCTTTTTAACAAAAATTATTATGCTAATATAGGAATTAATATAATAAATGCTACAAATTTAAAGTGTTTCTTATATTATTACACAATAAGGGTGCTTATATTTTAAATTTTAAAAATATCAGCCACTTTTGAGCTTTTAATCAATAAAAAAAATTTTTTTTTTTAACATTTATACAATTATTGAATAATAAGCACAACAAAAAAATAACCACTTAATGCAGTAATAAATGAACGCTATTAGATATTTAAGCACATGGACCATTAATCGTACAACTGGCACCTGAATTCTCATCAAGAACCTTATTGAACGCGATTTCACCTTTCTTTACTTTATCCATAGTTTCTTGAAAAGCAGCCTCAACAACAGGATCATCTTTTTTTGTAGAAACATTTTTCACAGCAGTTAAGACTTGATCAAAAGGAGCATGATCTCCCCAGACTTTTTCTCGATATTGATACTCTACACCTTTTGAGCCTTGGTGAATAACATATATACCGCCCAAAATTCGACCATCTCCTTTAAAATTGCCGGCAACACCCTGATTTTAAATGTCGTTTAAGATTTATTAATTTTATATTGTGAAAATGGTCATATAGAATTGGTTTTCATATTCCGGCCAGGTCAAAATTTGAAACTTAATTTTTTAATCGGGTAGGTTTTTCTTAAAGAGAAAATTTATATCTAAATTTTTTTTAAAAAAAATAAAGCCGGAAGGCTGACCGGATCTGTTTTAAAATATTCATATTACGAAAACCAAGGAATTAACTCGGAATCCCGAGAGTCAAAATCCTGAAACTTAATTATCACGTCGCGTAATAATCAAATTTCAGGATTTTGACTTAGACCCAATTAACTCTATATGATCTTATGGATGCAAGTAATAAAACTTACGGTTTTCATATTTTGTCTTATGTTAAACCATACAGAAGGTTTTAAAAAGCTTGTGAATCCTCCATATTGTATTTTACCACCTCTACATTAATAATAAAAAAAAACGTCAAAAGACATTATAGAACGATAATAATTACGATAACTTTCGTACCCAATATGAGTGAAAAACGATTTCTCTTTATCATGATATAGTAGTCCATTCCAATATCCTTTATTAAACTCATCAACTTCATTATCTAGGTTCTCATGCACTATTGCTACCATTTTAACTCCCTAACAAAGTAAATGCTATATATAAATTTTATAAGAGAGAAAGTATAAAATATGTATTTTCTTACCAATTTGTCAGATATAAGATCTCGATAGGAAGCAATTCTTATAGTTTCCTCACGACATAATTGACATCCAGGACGTCGAACTTTAAAAACCATATATTATCAATCCAAAATTACAAAAAAATCAGTATATCGAATATTAATAGATACCTACCAAGTAGAACCAAGGCAGGGCTATCTTGCCAAAGAGCATTGGCCTTAAATGTGGAATTATCTTTAAGGTCGGTAAGGGTGATATTCTCCAAATCTTCAATAGGTGTAATTGGAGTCTCTTGGGTAGACATTTTCAAATATTTTGCAAAAAAAAAAGAATCGGGAATTTGAGCAATGTAATCGTGGTGCAATTCTGAATTAAAAAGGACAAATGAGGTGATACACGTAAAAAGCAAGAATATTGAAATAAAATGGGCTGAGAAAAAGCCGGTAGAAAGTGGATTTTCGACCATTTTTTATATATTTGTCGTGAGACTTATATGTTGTGTGTGAAATTACGATTATATACGCAATCCTTATTTCAAATACGTATACATATAAATTATTTAAATACCAATATATTTAAAAAAGTAGATCACACACAAACATTTATATTACTAAAGTAGGCAAATTAGCTTACTAATAATTAACATCACTTCAACCGTATCGGTATGAGTGAAAAGCAGACTATTTTAAACTTATCGAACTTCGCACGCCATATGGCGTCCACGGTGATTACGTAGAGGTCCTAGGAGAACATTCGTCTGATTGGCTGATGTAGATCAATTGCCAGGGTAACTTATTTATATACTTTAATGTACTTTTGGGAACACAACGTTTCACCAATAAAAAATCACCGCAAAAACCATTTTTCGCTTCGATAAAACGTCTATATTTACTATGCAACAACAATCAGTATTCCCATGAACTTTACTTAGAAGACAATATATGCCTACCGTTTATTGGGCCAGATCCAATTATACTGTATAGTGAAGGTAACTGGAAATTTTTTCGTCTAAACTATTTTATTACGTTAGATTTAAATAAACTTTTATTTCTAACTATTAATTTGTGTAGGTGCAAGCTCTTTAGTAGTAAAAGATCCAGGCTTAAGATTAAATTTGGTCGGCTATTGTAGTGTGTTTGGGTTTGTCAATCGTAAATTAATAGTTAAGGTTTGAATGTAATGAGTTGGGTTTATTAACAATATCACATTTACCCACTATACACGCATCTATCTATTCTCTAAATATAAATAATAACCTTTTTCTTGCGTATAGTTCACTGGTTAAGAAATTATATTTTAGTAAATAATAACCAGAAATATATAGTACAAATATTAACTTATTTCTGTATACGTATTTACTATATATTTACTGGGTAATATATGTATTTTAATATATTTTTAGTTTTTTTTTTTTAAATATTAATGGTGAGGTCATGCCTTTAACTTTATACAAAGAAAAGCTTGTTTTTAAATTACATATGAAGAATAAAGACTTAGACATATAATCTGCAATCTAAACTTACATATTTTTAGTTTTTTTTTTTTTTTTGGTATTAAGGTGAGGCCTTGCTCATATCTTTATTAGTAATTTTTGTTGTACATATTTTTAGTTATTATGCTTAAATACATATATTACATAGTAAATATATAGAAATGTTAATATTTGTATTCTGTATTGTTATTATTTAGTTAAAATATAAATTTTTTTACCAGTGTTTATTGTAAAAAAAAAGAAAAAACTTATTAAATTTAAAAAATTGATTCTGTTATTAACTTAAAGCCTACAGTTTTTCTGAATTCAATTTAACACAGTTTATATTCACTTAATTATTTTTTTATAAAAAAGAAATATATATATATATATATATATTTTAACTTTAAGCAATTACACTAATACTTTATTAAGATTCTTGAAACTATTTATATTTATAATTATATATAATTTTCCAATACTCAAGTCTAGCATCACTTGGTTATCCTATTGGTACCTAAGTGCAACCTGTTGCATTATCTCAGTTAGAAATAAACTATTCATTTAATTACTTAAAGTCATACCAGAAAGATCTTTTCCTTTCTGTGACAAGCATATCAATTATCTTTCAAGCTTTTTCTTCATTTGGTTCATTTTTTTACTTTTTTTTACTTTTTTTCTTCTTTTATCATCTTATTCTTCTTTGTTCTTTTCTTTAATTTTCTTTTAGTTTGAGTATCTTTTTTTATTTTGTTTATTATATTAATCTTTTTTTTCATTCTTGTACTTTTTCACATTAGACTCTTTATACTTAGTTGTAAAATGTATTCTATACTGTTATTGTTACTATATTTATGCATTTTTGTATTGCTTATTCATCTAGAATCTGACTGATCTTTTTTTTAACCTTCTTCGTTGTTAGCTCTTTTATTAAAGCTTTCTATTGATAATTTTCTTTACTTCTGTTTTTTCAAATAGTGCTTTATATAGCACTAGAGGCAGAATTCTAACTTTTTATTTTTTTTAAGACTATTTCATATCATTGCTATTACTATCTTTTAGATCCTCTTCTACAAGCTTTTTTGTCTAATGCAACTTGCTAGATATGCTTAAATTTTCTTTTCACCTTTTTGACATATTTGGCAATCAATTATTGTATATATTTCTGATCTTTTTTTATTTAATTCTTTTAGTATTAATAAACTATCCATTATGTATTTAATTACTATTATTCTCCTTATACTAAGTTTCTTTATTGTATAATATACATCTTTTGTTCTATTCATCTCTTTTCAAAAGCTTGACCAATTATATTAAGTGTTCTTAGTTTTTGATTTCAATACTCGAATTGGATTTGTTTCTCTCTAACTAACTTCAATTCTAATATTTGTAACTATTTTACAAAAAAGTCTTGTTAATATATATATATATATTTTTTTTATAGTTAAAGTTTCTATCTTAGAGATGCAATATTTTATTCAAGTTTTGTTAGGAAATGGGAGCCTCTAGAGGCTTCCTTACATTGGAGGTTACAACTAGTTACATGTACACTTTTGGTGTCTAATTTAAGTAGTCTGCTTATATATTGCTATATAAGTTCTATACTAGTTGCTATATCTGCAAGCCAACTAGAAGTCTTGCCTATTTAAATCCTTTGCATATGCAATCCTCTTTGTATTATAAGAAGATTTCAAGACTACCTCTATTCAAGTTCCCAATGCTTATCGTTACCCTTAGGACTATTTTATTCTCGATAGAAAATTTATTAGAGCCTTTATGTCCCACACATATAGACCTAGTTTTATGTAACATGCTATAGTTACTTAACACTTGTAATTACAGAGGTTATCTGTTTAACCACTACATTATACTATTTCTACTCTTATAAAGTTTACTAGAACCCTAGTACCTATCTTCCTGGCATCTTCCCTATCATCTCTATCATTCTCTACTAGCTACAACTCAGAACCATTGGTCTCATTTCAGACTACCAATCCAGATGGCCTAGTATGGTATATTTATATATTCTTTTCTTCTAGCAAATCTGGCAGCCTGGTTGGTTATATGCTTCTTTACACATATTTGATATCTGGTTTTAATTTTTAGTTCCTATAAAGGTGTTTTGTAGGCTTTAACCAGTTCAATGATACTATTGAAAGTTTATGCTACCTCTTTATTCAGGAATTTCCAAATGAATTTTCATCATTTCAGTTCTTTAGTCTTCTACACCTAATAGTCTTATCATGGGTTTGCACTGAAGTTTTATACAATACTGATTATACATTTCTCTATATACATGTAATGTTATACTTTGCATAAATGCCTAAGCTTTCAATATCAATAGGATCTGACTTGATATATCTAGGTAACAGCCACATAAAGCCAACTAATCAACAAAAGACAGTTACTATAATGCAGATATAATTTTCAAATTTCATTGTAGATAGGATTTGAACCTTAGATCTGTCACTTGAAGAATAACAACCTAACTACTACACTAGGATCATCATTCTTTCTTGTTAATATATTAACTTTACTGTTTTCCTATTCTAAATAATACTCTATTTTGTTATATTTGATCTTCTTTATAAATACTGTTCTTTTACATATTGCTTTTTTTTTTGTAAGTAGATCTGTTCTATTATTCTACTTATCATTATTGTAACTTTTAACCTTAATTAGTTTTATTCTATTATTCTTGCTTTTAAATAGACTTATAATATTTATTATTTATATTATATTTTTCTTTTTTAAGACTTTGTCATTTTCTATTACTTGAATTACTTTGTTAATGTGCCTTAATGTTGTAAGGCTATCTGTATGCACTTATATATACTTTCTTTCTAATATAGTTAGAATTACTAACTATATTGCTACTAATTCTGCTGTTGTTGCTAAAGGCTACTCTTCAAGTCTCAGTGTTGTTTCTTTCTCTAATCAGTTTCCTCAGTTGCTAACTTACACCTAACCAATACCTATCTTTACTATACTGTTATAGGTGAAAGCCTTTTTAATTTTCACATTATAATAATGACACAGCACAGGGAATCTCTTATAGGTATATGCAGTATCCAAAAGAGAAGTATAGCTTTTGTTAGACGTTGTCAAGAAACTATACCCTTCTTTGAGGCAGTTTAGGAAAGTTAATGCAATACTAATAACTTTACTCTATTTCACTAAGAAGAGATAAACCTTGTCTGTAGAAATTACTCTAGAAAGGGAGTATCAATACAGTTTATAGTCAAAAGCTGTTTATTAAAGTAATAACAAGAAGGGCTATCCTTAGGTTTCTGTT